TTGAACAGAATATCCCTGCAGAGTTTTATGGTGCATGATGTGGGAACTATGACAACAGCATTATTACACTTTATAACAAATGAAACAAGAGCTTCATTTCGTACGAATCTTGACTCATCGGCCGAAGAAAATAATAACCAGGAGCGGTTGAGTCAGATGTATTAAACCTCGAGACAAGCCAAGAGGGAAGAACATGGGTGGGACAACCATGACCTGCATGATTGAGAATCTCCATAGACTTTCAATCAGAACATCCTATAAAACACAATTTTTTTTTTAATCATCTCTTGTCTATTAGTAGGCTTTTGAGCTTCACCAAAATCTTTGATAAAGCAGATGAAATTTGGCCCTTCAAATAAACAAGCATTGCAACACAGGTGATCCCCTACAAAGAAAAGCCACTGGCTTTTAAATTCATGAACCGCACCAGTCAGATGAGCAATAAATAAATTCCTTTAGGCAACGAACTATCGATTAAGGCATTCCCAATTACGGTATAAAATAAGGATTTTTCAGTGAATTCTCTACGGCGTTAGACCTGAGAGCAAGAACATGTCTATTTTTAGCAATGTGCTACAAACAGAAAAGAATGCCAGTGAATCAAGGCAGGAAAACCTCTCTTAATAAATCTGGCCCAAAAGGGAAAATTTATTTAGAGCTGCGGCTTTGTGGACTAGAATGCTAAAGAGCAAATTATTTTCTCCTTTTTTTCTCCTCTCCACAATGGGTGCGCAGGAAAACAAAAGGCCTCAAGAATTTACACATGGAGCATTTGTCACTTAGTTGAAACTTTATATAGCCTTGCAATCTGGACTGATTTTTTTCTGCCAAACTTTTAAGTATCCGTCTCAAAGAAAAATGAGTCGGTCAAGAGGTTGTTTAGAAAACTGTTTCCATGGTCCCCCTGAATAAGCAAAATGTTAACTCGGATGAACCGAAGTGGAATAATTCAATTGCTTGCTCATGCATGGAATAATGAAAAGAATTTTGAAAGGAAGGACATTCTCTTGGTGGCCAAAAAAACCCCTAGTCTCGAATTTTCCCCGCTGCCTTCTAGTTGAGGAACGATTGGGTACAAAACTGAATTCAAAAGAAAAGCTGCCTGGCAACGTATTTCCAAAAAGATTATTTTCCCGAGTTGATGATAACAGTTGTCAAAATCGGAAAGCAAAGCTTTCAATTATTATTAAATACTGTCGATTTTTAGAATCGGGCACGGTCTTGTTTTAGGGCTATTACAGCATGGATGTAATTTATGTCCAACAGATGAACTGTTTTCATAGTTTTATGCCGGTTTCTTAACAGTCAACAGTGCAAAAACCACCACCTCAACACGTGACCGCCAGTTACATTGCAATGAACTAAATACATCACCCTGCCAACAAAAGTGCTGTTCCCATTCATTTTGCCTGACTTTGGATGTGCTTGCAAATCTAGACAGCATGCTAAAAAGCAGAGACATCACCCTGCTGACAAAAGTGTGTATAGTCAAGGCCATGGTTTTCCCAGTTGCAATGTATGGATGTGAAAGTTGGACCATAAGAAAGGCTGAGCGCCAAAGAATGGAGGCCTTTGAACTATGGTGCTGGAGAAGACTCCTGCGAGTCCCTTGGACTGCAAGGCGATCAAACCGGTCGGTCCTAGAGGAGATCAACCCCGACTGCTCTTTAGAAGGCCAGATCCTGGAGTTGAAACTCAAGTACTTTGGCCACCTAATGAGAAGGAAGGACTCACTGGAGAAGAGCCTGATGCTGGGAAAGATTGAGGGCAAGAGAAGAAGGGGATGAAGAGAATGAGGTGGCTGGATGGAGTCACTAAAGCAGGAGGCGTGAGCTTAAATGGACTCCAGAAGATGGTAGAGGACAGGAAGGCCTGGAGGAACGTTGTCCATGGGGTCGCGATGGGTCAGACACGACTTCACAACTAACAACAAGTACAGATTTCTGCGGACAGAACTAGACTGGTTTTATCTAAGTCTAACATTATTTAATCTCAAGTGGCAACAAATGCCAAAGCTTGGGGCATCGATCTTGGCAAACGTACCCAGATCTCCTCCATGTGCATCTCTATTAATTTACGGCTCCAATACACAGAGAACTAGCAGGCAAGGGAAGAGAAGCCAGTGGGGACTTTGAATGTGAGTTGATAAGATTGTGTTAACTCTATGAGGACCTTGGAGGTCTTCTAGTCCAGCCCTCTGCTCAAGCAGGAGATCCTATACCATTTCAGACAAGTGGCTGTCCAATCTCTTCTTAAAAATCTCCAGTGGTGAATCAACCACATCTGGAGGCAAGCTGTTCCACTGGTTAATGGTCTTCACTGTCAGGAAGATTCTCCTTAATTCCAGGTTGCTTCTCTCTCTGATTAGTTTCCATCCATTGTTTTTTTTCTTGCCTTCTGGTGTTTTGGAAAATAAGTTGACCCCCTCTTCTTTGTGGCAGCCCCTCAAACACTGGAATACTGCTATCATGTCCCCCCTAGTCCTTCTTTTCTCCAGACTGGCCATACCCAATTCCTGCAACCATTCTTCATATGTTTTTGTCTCCAGGCCTTTGATCATCTCAGTTGCTCTTCTCTGCACTTTTCCCAAAATCTCAGCATCTTTTTTGTAATGTGTGGTAGAGAAGCTCTCCTATCCCATGTTAGGTGACCCCACTCAATCACCTAGCACATTGCTAGAGAGGACCACAGAGACACAGATGCAGCCACCTGTCATGTTGGAGGAACAGCTTTACGTGGAATTGAGAATTGAAACTAGCTGGACTCCTCATTCTGCAGGCAGAAAGTTAAAGCTGAAGGACAATTCCTACATTACAATTATATTTGGAGAATTTAATTTGCGAAAGAGTCATGCTGGTTTCTGATGATGTTACCTAGTTTGGGTCCTGAAACGTCCTCAAGAAAACAACCGAGTTCGGAGAGTGCCAGGGATCCTTCGTGTTTAAAGCAAGAAAGTGTTTCAGAGATAATACATATTTCCAATTAAACTATTTGAGGAAAGACTCTGATTCAACAGTGATGCTTGCAGACCTATAGATCTTATGCTGGCCTTATGCTGCTTGTCCAAAGAACTGCAGACCTGTTCCAGGTCTATGTTAGGTTGTACGCAACTTGAAGAACATGTCATAAGGCCACTGTGCCATAAGTGAAGCTTGCGCTTTTGTTCAGGACTTATGTCATACCTCTGTCGGAGCCTGAATCTGTGGAGGAAAATGAGCTGGAATGGGACCCTATGGAGGTCGAGGGAGAGGTGTCTGTGGCTTCAGAGGAATGTGGGGAAGAGCAGGCCGAGGCAGGCTAGGACCCTTCAGGATTGGGACAGGAGGAACAGGAGAGACCGAGTTCAGGCGATGAGCAAGGGCCACCCCCACCTGATCCTAGAGCACGGAGAGTGGAGAGAAAGAGGGAACAACGCAGGCAGGCTCAACTACTCGTGAGGAGAGCATCCTGCCCTTCTCCACAGGCACACCTGGGGATTGAGACTTAAGGAGATGCTATGGGGAGAGGCATTTGTCGAAATAAACACTGATTCCTTGGAGTGTTGTGTGTGTGTTGTTGTTGATCTCTTGTTCTGTGACTTCTGCTTGGAAACCCGGACACTCTGACCCTTGGACTGGCTGACAAAGTTGCTTGGGTGTTTAAAGAACTCGGACTGTATTTTGGCTTCCCCACTGAAACTGCTCAGGCAAGCGTGTATTCACACAGACTCTGTTAGGTTTATGATGTATGCGTCATTCCTTGTTATCTCTGTGGCCTTGAGTAAATTCCTCTCCTAATCAGAGTGTATGTGAAACTACTTGCAGCCAGAGGCGGCTGAAGGTGTGTGTGTCTTCCTATGTTTGGAGGCTTGCCAGAAACGTGGGAGCATTTGGGGAAAATTTGAAGCAATGAAAAGGCGGTTTGAATTGCCAGCTGACTGCATTGCCTCTGTGCTGTACCCTGGGTCATCACAACTTACGTAGTGTCCTATGGTATTAGCGTAGGTGTCGGCAATCCACGACATCTCCCGTTCACCGGTGCTCATGTCAGGCGCAGGCACATCCACACCGGGCCCTGTTTGGCACAATCAGGAACAAAGAGGGGACGCACCATTAAACACAGACCGTTCCGTGCATGGAAACCAGAAGACTCAGCTGTGGTATTGCTTACGGTTAGGCTGCACAGCCATTAGAAGTAATATTGTCCTTATTAATGGATGCAATGATTATGGTCTAAATCAGGGGTGTCAAACTCAATTTCATTGAGGGCCGCATCAGCATTGCGGTTGCCCTCGGAGTGTGTGTGGCCAGGGTGGGTGTGGCCTACTGGGTGAGCATGGCCAGCTCTACATCGTTCACGTCAAGGGTGCCTGTGGGGGCCTGGGCAGGAGTGGGACAGATCTGAGGGTCTCTGGCAGAAGGGGGTGGGACCGGGGCAAGCGCCAAGGCATGGTCCATTTCTTCATTCCTCACAAAGGGTGACACCTCCCCAGCATGCACCCAGGGGGAGGGGCCGACACGGCAGGGGCCGGTTCCTCGGTGTTTCGACGGCCTTGTGGAGCTAAGACTGAATGCATTTCAGCATAGATGGCCACCACAAAATTGTACATTGGCTCCCAGCCGGCCTGGGCCAGGGCCAAGGTAGCGGGGGCCGTTCCCTCACTGTTTCCAGGATGGCTTCACGGGCCACATGAAACCACTTCACAGGCCGCATCCGGCCCCTGGGCCTTGTGTTTGACATGTCTGGTCTAAATGGAGGGAAATGTCCCCATTCCATTAGAAGACAAAAAGAAGTAGACTATCCCTAACTTCTAGAAAAAAAAGAAATCTGTACCTTAAAGTTTTTTTTTTTTTAAAAAAAGAACATACTGACTTGTATCCCAAGCTACCAGAGGATATATATAAATGGAACGTTTTTCTTCTTTCCCCAGCTGTTCGTCCTGCTCTATCGTATCTTGTAAAGGAATGGCCCCTGGCTTCCAAAAGGGGTTCAGGGTCCACAGATAGTTGCGGGTGGAAAGAAGGGAAGGGAAATTTATTCCTATGACTTGGATGCTGGAGAGATTATTAAAGAACGAACGGCATGTTTACAGCAAAAAAAGGGAACAGGATAAAATTGGGCGTTTCTCCAACCAGCCCAGAGCTCAACTCGAAAGCGAACAAACAAGTCAAATTGCTCTTTTGATTTGACAGCTTAACAAGCCAAGTGAGAGCTGATCTCTTTAATATGATTTTGTAGGTAGGCTTGATGGGGAGTGTTGAAGACAGAGGTGTGACAATGCATCAATCTGGAAGAATTCTGTTCCCAGATGAGTGAATTCTGAACATCCCTGGAGCCAAATGCATCAAGCGTGCAAGCCGGGGCTTTGCTGTAGCTGATTAATTAAAACAAGGCAACAAAAACACTCTTGTCCTTCCGAGTGTATTCACAACATGAAGTACCACATTCAAGTGCTGCTTTTTTTGGGGGGGGGGCACAGTTGGAGAGTACCGCTGAATGATCCCTCTCGCCCAAATCCATACAGATATTCCGGTCTTACGTACCGATAAAGCCTTTCTTTGCGAGTTCTATGGTAAACCGTCTTGTGATTTTTTCCAATTCATTATCCTACAACAAAGGAGACAGTTAGTATCCAGGAGGTGGGTAAGCAACGCCTAAGGTCAACCCTCATGATTTTAACAAAGGTTTAGCCAATAGTTCCTACACCTAGGCCAGGGGTAGGCAACCTTGGCTCTTTTATGACGCATGGACTTCAACTCCCAGAATTCCTGAGCCAGCCGTGCTGAGGGGAAAGGGAGAGGTTTCCAAGCTGAGCCATGCTGGCTCAGGAATTCTGGGAGTTGAAGTCCATGAGTCATGAAGGGGCCATAGTTCCCCCACGCTGGCTGAGGAATTCTGGGAGTTGAAGTCCACGAGGCATAAAAGAGCCAAGGTTGCCTACCCCTAAACTAGGCCATCTACTAGTCCAGGTTTAGCCACCCTGCAATAAGAAGGGAGGTACCAGCCCAACCCAACGTTTTGGATTTTATGTGAACTGGGGAAGTAACTGCTGCTATTAATCTTCCCGACCTCTGAACTCAAAAAATGCCGGGATAAGAGAAGGGAGCTATTCTACAACTGGGCAGCTGTGAGGTCAGGAAAAATACTCTGCCTCTTGGAGGCAGAAGGGACCGCAGGAAAATGTGTTTATTGTGCTGTAAAATTCCCTCTCTCTTCAAGTAAATAAAAGTTTTTGCTCAGGTGTTTGTTTAAACTGGTGCTACAGCGTCCCGGCAGAGTTTAATAGGACAGTGGTTGAAATGCAGTATTGCAGGCTAACTCTGCCCACTGCCAGGAGTTCGATTCTCACTGGCTCCAGGTTGACTCAGTCTTCCATCCTTTTGAGGTTAGTAAAATGAGGACCCAGATTGTTGGGGGGTGATATGCCGGCTCTTTACAACCCAAGGGTTGTAAACCAGGGTGAAGCGGTTTATAAGTCTGCTATTGCTAATTCAGCATTTTTATGCTGTTTCAGATTTGTAACTTTTCTTTAGATCTCCGTGGTCTCATGGTTAACTTATAACAATGACTTTTAATGACGTCAACTGTCACTTTAGGATTGCTGGAAACACAACATAAATAAAACTAAGGGTTACAATATTCTAATGCAATGATTCTGACCCACCCTTTATCTTGAAACCTTCCGATTGGAATAAATCCTTTTTATTTCATTCCACTCGTCCTACGTGTTTGTCACTGCACAGCACATGCCTCCAGAACGTAAGTTGGCTTGCAAAGTGGTCTCTAGTTTACATTCTAACTTGTGTAGAATGAGAGCACGCCAGGCAAATGGCTCTTTTACTGGCATATTGGCCCAAACATGCAACATTGGACCAATACTGCATCCTTCCTCGTATACAGTAGTGGCCAAAATTGTGGAAGCCTTTTGGGAAAAGTGTACAGTAGAAATGCCACCTTTGGTGAAGTTTCCACCCATTTTTCTCCTAATTTCTTTATAACTGTAGCCTTGTTCACTTAATAATACTATTTTACATCGCTTTCTGGGCGACCAGTCAACTCTTTGCACCAGGACTTTAATTTTATTACGTTTTACCAGCTCACTAAATGAAAGAACACAAAAGAACCCAACCAACTGGATAGCGATCACATAACACACTGACAAATGTCCTCCTCTCGGCTTCAGTACAGGACATCAATAACTGAATCTTACTGTGATCTGATTGGCTCATTGGCAAAACAAGATGACACCCGATTGGCTCTCTAAACACTCGTGCTCATTGGCTACAATCGGATGAAGGAAAGCTACCTGAGATCAACCTAAGCAAGTTGTGCTTCCTTTTTCTCGTTATTTGACTATAACTTTTCATAGAATACAGTACAGGTAATTGAACAAACTCTGTTGCATTACATTCTTGATTAAATCATCTTTCCATTGATATATAGTTTTATGGTATTACTCCAAAAAAGTGGTGTTATTAGCCATCAAACCTCAAAAATACACTGTTCCCAAAAGGTTTCCACAATTTTGGCCACTGCTGTACAGGTAATTCTTGACTTACAACCTTTCGTTTAAGTGACTGTCCAAAGTTACACAACAGCTCTGGGAAAAAATGACTTGTGATCCTTTCTCACACTTATCACTGTTGCAGCCTTCCCCATGGTCACTAGATCAAAATTCAGATTTTTGGCAACCGACTCTTATTTATGACGGTTGCAGTGTCCTGGGGCCGTTTGATCCCTTTTTGTGGCCTTCTGACCAAGCAAAGTCAATGAGGAAGCCAGATTCGCTTAATAATTGTGTGACTAACAACTGCAGTGATTCACTAAACAACTGTGGCAAATAAAGTCGTAAAATGGGGCAAAACTCACTTAACAAATGTGTCACTTAGCAGCAGAAATTTTGGGGGTCAATTAAGGTTGTAAGTCAAGGACTACCTATAGGGACATGGGTACAATTCGGCCGCTAACCAACTCATTCTTTTTGTTTCAGATAAAAGGGTGACAGACTCAGTTGACCAAAATAAGGACAGGTAGCACTCATAGGGTCATCTGGCAGCTTTTCCTGTGATCCAGATGTTTATTGCTTATCTGAAAGGGATAGGTATGTATGTATGCATGTATGCAATTAATCTCTCCACGCCAAGAAAATATAGAATTCATTGCATTGTCCTAACTGGTCTAGGTCAGGAAAACAGCAACCTCAGATATCTAAGCCTAAACGTGCCGATTAAAAGCGTATTTTTCTGGAATTGGAACTTACTGTATATAGCCTAGGGTTGATCTTAACACCGGCCTTTGCACCACCAAATGGCACATCTGAAAACAAATGTTCACGCTTAAGTTAAAGAAAAAACAAAACAAAGGACAAGAATGTAAAGATGGTAAAAGATTTATCTTATCGCTAGCTCGGATGCCTTTTCTGCCCTTTTCCACTTCAGGAATTAGTCACAGAGATATCAACACAGAAAATGAAAAATAATAATAAAACAACAACAACAACAACCCATAGACAATGATTTGTTTTAAAATAATTCAGCACGCTCTTCAATATAGTGAAAAGAGGAGATTCACAACGGATTTTTTTTACGAGAATTGTTTACGTATGAAAAACGGGATATTTCTTTTATGTATTGCAGCTTTTAATTAGGTCTGCAAAAACCTCTACCAAGGTTTGATGGTTAGCTGAGGAACTTTCTTTGGATTCAGGCCTTTTTAAGACCAGTGGCACCGCTCTGCTCAGAGATATATATGCTCACTTATTTCTTGTTTTGCTAATTTTGATCGGCTAGGACAGGGAGTTTTAAAAAGCTGGCATTGCATCAGATTTAATCCACTTTTCTCTGCTTCATAAACAGAAAAGGAGCTGCACGCCGAGCCTGGAGGAAGACTAGAAATGTTATCTCTGAAAAGATGCTCTAAAATTGGCAGAGCAGGTATCTCTACTCCAGGGATATCCTGAGTGGTGGCATTCAAAGAGGTGAACAACCGGTTCTCTGCGTGGATGCCGCTTCCGGGAGTCCGTTCTGGGCCTGGGCAACAAAAAATCAGCTACCGGTTCTGTGCGAACCAGCTGAATCCCACCACAGGATATCCTTTATTTTCAGACCCACCAAGAAAACAGGAAACTTAAAATTCCCAGGAAAGCATAGACCTTGCAAGTGAAGCCCACCCACCAAATCTGTGGAGAGGAGACACATCCCTCACAGGCCGTTACTTCAATACCTAAACATCTTTCTGACAAAATTAAAGACCCCTGGCTTTAGAGGGACGTGTGGACCCCGGCGTTCATTTAGAATTACTTACCAACTACTGCACATTTATATGTCATAAGAGAAGCTAATGCTTTCACTTCATCAACACTCACTTCCGTGCTGTAACGAATACCTGTTTAAAAAAAAAACCATGAATGTTAGTGACTGATGCGTTGGGTTACCTGCCAATAAGAAATAAGCCGCGAGCACTAAAAGGAAGACGACTATTAAAAAAGCGATTTACTGGGGAGGCGAAATACAGTGCGATCTATCTTGCCCAATCTCTTGGTGATAGAAAAAAGAAAAGCCATTCTATCAGCTCTCGTAGTTGTTCCACCACAAAATGTGAGTCATTTTGTTCAAGGGTTGAAATCATCATCCTCACATCTGGTTTTAAGCAGGAACCCAACCCAACTGCAGACTCTAGTCCCAACTTCGTTTCCGTAATTCTGTAAATACTTTTTATGGACCTAATATTATTCACCAAGGCTCATTTTTCAACGCTGTATATGCCGCTTTGGGTCTGGAAAACCCAACGGTGAGAAAACCAGCACTAACAGACAGCTATTATTATGCCATATTCAAAGTTAACAAGCAGAATACTGACAGAATAATACACGCCATGGAGTTTAAGGAGGCTATCACTGAATGAAGACATCAAAAAGATCAGTTTCAATGGAAAAAGCTGTCAAATGAAATATAAAACAAAGTTTCAGATCCTGAACCTGAATAGAGAAGAAGAAAATAAGGAAACAACCAAACTAGAAACAAGGAGAAATTTCCTGATGATGAGAACGATCAATCAATGGAATAGCTTGCCTCCAGAAGTTATGGGTGTTCCATCACTGGAGATTTATAAGATGAGATTGGACAGCCATTTGTTTGGAAGGGTATAGGGCAGGGATAGGCAACCTCGGCTCTTTTATGACTCATGGACTTCAACTCCCAGAATTCCTGAGTCAGCTATGCTGGCTCAGGAATTCTGGGAATTGAAGTCCATGAGTCATAAAAGAGCCGAGGTTGCCTACCCCTGGTATAGGGTCTCCTGCTTGAGCCGGACTAGAAGGCCAACAATGTCGCTTTGAACTGTTATTCTATATTCATAAATGATATTAGTGCTTGTTCAGCAAGACTACAACTCTGTATGATTCATAACCGTTAGTGGTTCCTACTGACTGATTTAAAACACATGTTAAGTGAAAAAAAAGTCCACAATATCCTGGATTCAACTGCTAAAATATACAGTAGTGGCCAAAATTGTGGAAACCTTTTGGGAAAAGTGTATTTTTGAGGTTTGATGACTAATAACACCACTTTTTGTTTTTTGGAGTAGTACCATAAAATTATAAATCAATGGAAAAGATAATTTAATCAAGAATGTAATGCAACATAGTTTGTTCAATTATCTGTGCTGTATTCTATGAAACGTTATAGCCAAAGAACCAGAAAAAGGAAGCACAACTTGCTTAGGTTGATCTCAGGTAGCTTTCCTTCATCTGATAGTAGCCAATGAGCATGAGTGTTTAGAGAGCCAATCGGGTGTCATCTTGTTTTGGCCATGAGCCAATCAGATCACAGTAGGAGTCAGTCATTGATGTCCTGTATTGAAGCTGAGAGGAGGACATTGGTCAGTGTGTTATGTGATGGCTATCCAGTTGGTTGGGGTTTTTTGTGTTCTTTCATTGAGTGAGCTTGTAAAACGTAATAAAATTAAAGTCATGGTGCAAAGAGTTGACCGGTTGCCCGGAAAGCGATGTAAAATAGTGTTATGAAGTGAACGAGGCTACAGTTATAAAGACATTAGAAGAAAAATGGGTGGAAACTTAACCAAAGGTGGCATTTCTACGGTAGACTTTTCCCAAAAGGTTTCCACAATTTTGGCCACTACTGTAAAAAGGCAAAGTTTTCCCCTGTCCAGTCACGTCCACCTCAAGGTGTTCATCTCTGTTTCTTAGCCAAGGGGGCCGGCGTAGTCCGAAGACATTTTCGTGGTTATGTGGCCAGCATGATTCTACACTGAGCACACGGCACCCATTACCTCCCCACCAAAGTGCTACCTATTTATCTACTCGCATTTTGCACGGTTTGAACGGCTGGGTGGGAAAGAAGCTGGAGCAAGGAACGGGAGCTCAACCCCGTCATGTGGCGCTCAGGTCTCAAACCCAGACTGTCAACTTCAGCATCTTTAACCACTGAGCCATTGTGCCCCCTTTTGCTAAACTATACAACAGCGTACCAATACAGACGTTGGGTTTCTCTGGTATAAGCCAACTACTGACTCTTATTCTGTGAAACCTGGTCAATAGAGCATTTGCTTTTGTGAAAAAAAGAGATGAATTACTTTTTAATGCCTGCAATGTACAACTTCATTTTGCAACGTCTGCTGTGCGGGAAGCAATCGCTTCCTCATTTCAGCTGTCTGGAAGAACATTAATCTGAGGCAGTCTGCTTCCTGCTCTCTTGTTTAGTGTTACTTAACCCTCCACAATTAAGGAAGGAACAAGTTCGCAGTCGCTCTCATTACGCTCTTATTTTAATAATTGAAACGTACCAAGCTGGAAGCACAAGGCATTTAAACATAGCGCTGCAAATGCTATCAAACCCACTTAAAAGCAAGGGCAAGGCTCCTGAACTCTTGACAACATAATGAAAGTCTCCCGTTAACGAAAAAAAAGAAAGAGAAAATGAATATACTCCATTTGATAGGAACCAAGGGTTATAAATTTTCAGGCTCTTAAGAAATTGTTCTTGAATGTAATGGAGACTTTGATTATGCACAAGAAAAAAAAACAGACATGTTAGAGCAGGGGTGTCAAACTCAATTTCATTAAGGGCCGCATCAGCATTGTGGTTGCCCTCGGGGGGGGGGGTGGCCAGGGTGGGTGCAGCCTACTGGGTGGGCATGGATGGAGTGGGTGTGGCCTACTGGGTGGGTGTGGCCAGCTCTACATCGTTTGCATCAAGGATGCCTGTGGGGGCCTGGGCAGGAGTGGGACGGATCTGAGGGTCTCTGGCAGAAGTGGGTGGGACCAGGGCAGAGCCCATCAAGCCGGATATGTGAAGTAGGTGAGGGCCATTTGCTGGCCACTTCCAGGAGATGGTCCATGTCTTCATTCCTCACAAAGGATGACACCTCCCCAGCATGCACCCAGGGGGCGGGGGCGACACGGCGGGGACTGGTTCCTCGCTGTTTCCAGACGGCCTTGTGGAGCTAAGACTGAATGCATTTCAGCATAGATGGCCACCACAAAATTGTACATTGGCTCCCGGCCGGTCTGGACCAGGGCCAAGGCAGTGGGGGCCGTTCCCTCACTGTTTCCAGGACGGCTTCGCGGGCCACATGAAACCACTTCGCAGGCCGCATCCAGTCCCCGGGCCTTGTGTTTGACATGTCTGTGTTAAAGAATATATTATCGAAATGGTAGAGCCCTTGTATCTGGGAATAAATAGGAACAACTTTGAAAGCAGTTTAAGTACAACTGGGTCTACACTTATGCACATGCATCTTTTTAATCTGGAAAACTGTTTCACAATCACTCACGCCGATGTTACCCATTACAATGGCAAAAAGAAACATCTGCAAGTAAACAAGCAAGCTTGTAGAGCACAAAGGACTCCACAGTTTAACCCTGTGCTAGATTTAGTCTCTTCTATTGCCAAGTGTTTCGTTTCGGAGGCTAAGGTATTTTATTGCAATTGGACTGATCTGCAGAAGTTGTGGACGCTGCTTCATTATTGGAGTTTTTTTAAGAGGAGATTGAACGGCCATTTGTCTTAAAATGGAATAGGGTTTTCCTGCTTCAACAGGAGGTCGGACTAGAAGACCTCCAAGGTCCCTCCCATCTCTGTTATTCTGTTCTGTTCTTTTGTACCTTTTATTTCAAGAGCCATTAGGAATGCAAGGAAAATCGCACCAAGGTTAGCAGTAATGGTGCCCAACCAAGGCTAAGATTCACTTTGTCTAAATGCTTAGAGGCGATGTGCTTTCCTGTTATAAAAGCCTCCTGCTACAAAATGACTCACAGCCATGGGTAAACTTTCCACTGGAACTGGCACAAAATGTTGTTTGTTAAGGATTTTCCTTTCCTCTGGCACACCCGAAAAAGAAAGTTAACTAACTAGGACATCGCAGCCTGCAGAGAACAGATTCGACTCCTTTGTACTTGAAGCAGCAATGAAAAAAAATCACCCAAGAATCCTGTTCCAATTTGTGAGCTTTTAACTTCCTTCTGGAAAAGACAAGACTTATAGCTAAAACTGTACACATACGCGCGATTTAGCAGCTGCTTACAAACCGCAATAATTCAGCTTGTGAATGGTGATACAAAAACACTGTGAAGCCAAGATCTTACCTACCAGTATTAATAATAAATCCAATTCGGTAATAAAGTAGCTAAGCCCATGTCCCTTAAATAAAGCTTACAGGATGGGATATTTTCACATTTTATAGCAAAGAACGGAGCCATCTGCAGGGGATCAGCTATCCCATAAACCACAGGCTTCCTGAAAAATCCTTACTGCTCTTCCAGAAAAACACCAACATAATGTGCTTTGTTGCCAAATGCCTAGATATTTTTAAATGGGGCTGTTCCTGGAAGATAAGACACCCCAGATCCTTGAGTCAAGTTTGGGGTGGTCAAAGGGAAATCACGAAACAGAACCAAAAGGGACGCCATCGTGCATTACGGAGACTCCCTTTGGGTTTAAGGTTTAACAAAACAGCTTTGGACATTTTAATTTTTTTTAGCAACAACACGGTAATTGGGAAGCAAGCACTAGTTCAGCTACTTACGCACTACTCGAGGAAAGGACAGTCAACATTAAGAAGCTAATAGGGATTTTAAAAATGAAGGATGCTTGCAAATCACAGAGATGACCGAGAACAACCATTATAATCGGGCTTGAGGCTCTACTAGTTGATCCAAGAGGTAGAAAGACAAAGAAAATGTCAACAGGACTATTTATTCAATAGGACTGCTTCTACAGGAACAATGGCTTCCTTTTAAGATTGTGTATCTCTGTTAAGAGTTTGGATAAAGCAGAGATTAACATATGACACTCCATTACTAGAAGGTCATTCCTGTTTCCTGTACTTTGTTAGGACACTTTTAGTTCTCTGGACAGCTGTCTATA